TATTTTATTAAAAGTAAAACATGTATAAATTATCTTATTGAGAAGATAATCATATTTTGTTAAAAGTAAAACTTGCATATATTATCTTATTGAGAAGATAATTGATCATATAACCACTTGAAGCTATAAAAAGTAAATAATTATCATGAATACAGTTACTCTTATCATTTTAAAATATTTATATATACATAAACTTAAAATGATAATAATATTGAAAAAATAAAATAATGAATATATAATATTAGAAATAATAAGTTATTATAATATTTATAACTTGTAATCTCTCTTTTTCTTTTTCTTCTCTTAAAAAAAGCAATGCTGTCTTGCAATAAATAATGTTTATTGATGTAATAAACAAAATTTTTTTCTTTTGCATGTGAAAATGACTTGCAAATCCCGGATAAGATCAATCCAGATCATATCTGAATTGACTCGATCCGAATTGCACTACCCGGCTTTAGTGTTCCTCTAGTTTTAGAAAAAAATCTAAAAAAGATTTATTAATAAATTATAAATTTTATATAAAAAGAACTTTTTGTATACTATTTATAATAATAATAGTAATAATATTATTATTATTATTTCCAAAAAACTGAAATTTTAAATCTTTTTATTTATTATAATTATTCTTGGTAATCTATTTTCTAAAAATTGGATAGCAGCAGTTAGAGCTTTGAATATCTTTTAAAAATTGAAGCTAATAAGAAAGAAATTTAATATAAAAAACGTAAAGTTTTTATTGATAAAGTGTTAGAAGTTCTAAAACCGGGATTTTCGTCATTGTTTACAATATAAATCGATGCAATTAACTTCAGATTGATGGAATTGCCAGGTCGGCTAAAATACAGAATTCTACGAGGTCCCGCACATCTTTGTTTCATTCCAACCCTCAATGAAAACCACCGCCACCACGACGAAACTTATTCACCACCACTTCCATTTAGAGGACATCTTTGTAACCTAGCAAATTCAAAAAGTTATGCCATACGAGGTACACTTGCGACGCGGTCACCTCCAGCATCCTGCGCTCACCATGAATGCCTCATGGAACCACCTATATATTATGATTTCTGTGTGCATGATTATGGAACACGTCGTACGTGGGATTTTAATTGGGTGAAATGGTGGGAAGGAGATTGTGGATGGTTCGGTACTGAGGAAGATGGTGGTGAAAGATTTTTAGATGCTGAATTCGCTGAATTCGAAGCGAAACCATATGTTGGTTTTCGCACTGAATTAATGTATAATGGAGACATGGCATTAAGATATATTGCGAAATATCTAAAACATGGTATTCTGGATGAGTTGAGTGACGAAGAGTTGGATCAAATACGAGTTTGTATTGGAGAAATGGTGGTAGTTATAGATGACGATGACGATGATGATGCTGAAGAGGGGGGAAAAGAATATGAAGAGGATGAAGAGGATGAAGAAGATGAAACTTCACAAACTGACCTCGAAAATAATCTTTCAAAATTGCATATAAATGATAACTAATCATTGCATTTTTATTTTTATATTGATCATTAAATTGTGTAAATATGTTATCAAGCTTTCAATTCGTTTTCATCCTTTAAATTGATACATCATTATTCATCATGCTCATCATTATTGTTTCAGTATCACTGTTATTACTTTCTTTTGCCGCTGCTGCTGCTTCTTTTACTAAATTTATCTGATTCTCCTTTTAGTTTAATCTATGACAGAAATAATGTCATTTTTCTAAGAGATATTGTTAAGATTTTCGAATACATCTTGCGATTGATTATCCTCTGTTCCGCTTTCTCTATCTTGTTCTAAAGAATCAAAAATCTTCAACATGTTCGCTGTAATATTACCAAAATCTTGAACATTTAGTATCGATTGAAGATTTTCATCTTCTGCTATTGTATTTGTTGGTGTTAAAGTTGTGATAATGCACTTCTCTTTGTCTGTTTCTTTGTTATCTAATTGTTCGTTGAAATTGAAAAGAGGATTTTCACATAAATAATTCGAAAAGTTGTCAGATTCAAATGGGAAAGAACACTATAAGAAAGAAAACAAAGATTAATATCAATGACAATTCGATTGCTCTTTAAGTAATGTGAAATACTACATTTTTATTTTCACACATGTAAAGAATTAACCCGAGATTGATGGTGAACGGAAGAATTTTTGACGAACAGTTTGAACAAACTGTTTCATTTTGTTGTTGTGGTAGCTCCGGTTGTTTCTCTGCGTTTAGTTCCATATTAGAAGGGAACTCTCTTGAATTGGGATCAACGCTTGTGATGATATAATTCCACGTGCACAAAGATTTTCAAGCTTTTGTATCACAATAATAAATGAATTAATTGCATCCATACAAGTAGACTCTTGCTAATTAGGGTTTTCTTAAAATAATAACAAAAATGGCACTATTTGTTGGACGGTTTGTTAATTACCTTCGAGTTTTGCGTATTTTTGAAAAAAAAAGAACATCATAACATAACGCTTGTTCCAATGTGTTTCTTGCGAACCGTTGGATTTTCACACTAGGCTTGCACTGGATACTCACCCACGAGATTTAGAACATATCTTTGACAAGTATGGACGTTTGAATAGGTTGGAGATTAAAAGAGGCTATGCATTTGTAGAATATATGGATACTCGCGACGCTTCAGATGCCCTAAAAGAAACTGACGGAATGGTAATGTTTAATCGAAATGAGTTATGTTATTCATTGAATGTCAGCTGTCAAGATACCGGTAACTACAGATCTAGCGGAACTAAAAAGTTGGAAATTACGGATTTTCTCTTTTTTAGCGAGTTCGTGGTAATAGGATCGTCGTAGAGTGGGCCAAGAACGGTGGAAAGAAACCGGGTATGTCCGCATACGGTAAAGCTAGAGTTTGTGTTGGCACATGCTCCACCAATTTTTTTTTGTTTCCCTGTACTGCATTTTCAACTCGATAAATTATTTGAGTTTAACCACCAATTTTTATCATTTATCCATGTTAATAAATACACGAATATCAACAGCTGATAATCAATGCTTCAAGTGTGGAAGAGAAGGTAAAAAAAAAATAAAAAAAAAATATGCTTGAATAAGCTCTTACGTTTAGATTTTTCCTACTGTATAACCTCCTGATCGTGTTTGTGTCATATTTATTTTCAAAGGTCATTGGGCAAAAGACTGTCGTTCGAATTCTTCTCGATCTCATAATAGACATCGTAGCAGGAGCCCTCGAAGAAGGTTTGTTATTCAGTTTTATTGTCTATTCACTGTTACACATCTCTTTATTCTATATTTTATCAGAGTTACGTCAGTATTAAGAGTATACAGTAAACTAGTACTACTATGCCAGCAGCAAGATATGCTTGCACACTTTGATTCACGTTTCCCCCGTCCAGTCATTATCTATTGGTCATATTCTTCAGACAGTTTGGATGTTACCTATCTTCCCCTTGTCGAGATATCTCTTCCTAATAGTCCCAGTCAATAAGTTCCTAGTTTTTCCTCCCGAGTATTGATGGCTTTTTTTTGAAGCACGAGCCGCGTTCATCGGGTTTAAGCTGCGAAACATACTGTATACTCTTTGCCCTGCCCTCAAGTCTTAAGTGAAGCCAAGTCTTTTCAGATTTCCTATATATATCATCGCAGTTTGGCCATTTGAACAGTTCCAGTTTCAGAAGCACCGTTATCCTAGCATTGATTCTTTGGCATTCACTCTGATTATTCCGCTTCGCATAAATGCCCGTCCTTTTCTTCTCCGTCGTCCTGTTTCCCGTTCTCCGTTTTTTGTATTTTTTTTATTTTTATAATTTTTTCTTTTTCTTTTGCTTCAAGTTTCAAAGTGTGACGGAAATCCTAGAAAGTTTACCAACCCGGATAATTGTTTTGTCTATTGTTCTATTAATGAGTTTTTTTTTGGTTTAACACAATAAAGATCTCGTTCTCGTTCACCTCGTCGTTCACCGAGAAGATCACCTACACGCCACGACCGTGATCGTAGAGACGATCGCGAAGAGCGCGATGAACGTGACGGAAGAGACAGTCGCGGGTCTGGTGGTGGAGAAGATCGCGGTTCCTATTCAGAAAGAAGACATACTGGGGAAGAAAAGCGATTTTCGTAAGTAAAATTCTTCTATTCAATTGGGGATAATTATGTGTGAGGAAGTTTAGCATATCGAGTGAGGTTCTGTAACAAATGTCATATTAGTGATTAACCGAAAAGATCGAACGAAATCTCTCGTTCCTTTATTGAATTCGCAGTTCCGAAGGATCCGCCAGTGAGCATGGTGTTCAGGGGTAACTATCTATATAAAAATATATACATATATATATAAAAAACACGCACATATTTCACACATATTTGGAAAACACACACACAATCATCTTAATCCCTCGAATCTTTATATTGTCAAAAACTGTTATTTATTTGTTAAATTCGTAATGATGTTGCCTCTTTACTTTTGTGGTTCGTAAAGTTGCATTGTCATATTTACGCATTTTTCGAAAGATAATGGTTGAAAAATCAAAAAATGATAAGTTGGGCGATTATGGTGGAATGCATATAGCGTATAACAGGCTCGATAATATCATAATATATAAAATTTTGCATGCAATTATTTTGTATTAAATAAAATAAACCATATTTTTTTTCTGATAAATTTATGAATGAATTGATTGTCAATATTTTTAAATATTTTATTATTCGCGTACTGCTTATTAATTGATTATTATATGCAAAATTTTGGAAATATCTCTTCTCACTATCTATACTACACGAAAACTCGAGAGAATAATTACTTTCGATACCATAATGTTGTTGTCTGTATTTGAATAAACAGAGAAAATGAGTAAACGAACGAACGATCAATAAAAAAAAAAAAGAAATAAACACCACAAATTGAAGAAAGTAGGCCCACTTACCCTACTTCTTCGCATTTTCTTTTGCAATTGAAGCACTCCATATAAAAGTGCTTCAGCCGTTGGTGGACAACCAGGTACATAAATATCGACAGGTACAATCCTGTCACAACTAAAAAAAAAAACCCACCTATCAGTTAAAGTGTAGGTTTCATAACACAACCAATTCCGATTCAATCTTTACCCTCTCACAACACTATATGAATAATGATAATAGCCACCGCCATTCGCGCAAGATCCCATAGATATAACCCATCGCGGTTCAGGCATCTTATTTTCATACATGCACATATTAAATAATTATTCTTTAGGAGGAAAACGTATGAAATGTTGTTTTTATTATTTTTCATACCTGATCATATACTTTTCTCAAAGCTGGTGCCATTTTGTTCGTCAATGTTCCTGCAACTATCATGACATCGGATTGACGTGGTGAAGCTCTGAATACAATTCCTATACGATCTTGGTCATATCTCGCTGCTGCCATATGCATCATTTCCACTAATGCAGGTAGCGTAAAAGCAAATTTAGCCCTGTTACTAAATATTGAGATCTTAATTTATTAAAGATAATTACCGGCACAACAAGCTAACCCAAATGTCTGTCGAAAGCAAAATCAAAGATGAGAAAGAGTTCAACCGTTTAGAGAATCAGAGATAGAAGTAATCAACATACCATTGGCCATATCGAACTTTGTCGAGCCCAATTAAATACTTGATCCACTGTAGACAGTACATACTCTGCACGCCAATTACAAAAAGTAAAATTACAAGAATTCCAAATGCAAAAATTACAAGAAAAATCAAAAGTGAAGGTATTTACCGGCAGCGTTGTTCGGTTTAGCCAGTGAGAAATTCGTGAGTTTCTTCTGAGTTACTGAAGTTTCGGAGGTTTGCGGAGCAGCAGCAGCAGCAGCACTGCTATCTGTTGCCAAACCTCGGACAAACTCTCTCGAGATAATTGATGAATTTCGATGTATCTCGCCTGTACAAATGAAATATAAACTTTCGAGTCAAAACACTAAATATCTAGAAAATGAGAAGTGAAAACCCTAACAGACCTTGATGATATCCTAATGTGTGAATTGCTAGCCTTCTCGAGGCAACTTTAGAACGAATTTAAAACGAACACTAAAATTAATACATATTCAACTCGAATGATACTGGAATCAAGCGAACTAACCTTTCGAAATGAGGGAAGAAGCTGAGGTGAATTTTTGTAGTGCCATTTAAATGTGCAAAAGAACAAACAGGGAGAATTTCAAAGAATGTATAATTAAATGATAATCGTCATTAACCACGAATAAAGGTAATTATCGTTATTTATAGGTGGTTTATTTTCGAAACTTCACAATTTAGAAGATATTAGCTAATTGCGCCTGATGTCAAGTTCTTCCGCAGCAGAAAGAACAGAAAGACAGACCTCTGCTAGTTCTAGTTATAATGAAGACGATTTAGAAATGCACGTAGCTTCCGAAGAGCTAGACGAGGAAGAGGAGGAGGAAGAGCAATCAGAAGAAGACGAACATACAGGCATGAAAAGTTGCACTATATACTTAATAATGTTTCAATCCTTTACACTGATGTGACTTAATTTTTTAGGTTGGCGTAATAGTAATATTCGCAGAGCCGCATTATTTCGCCTAGTTCTTCAACAGAGATCAAGAAATGAAGCATTATTTGCGGGTCCAAGGCAACATGGACATTTGTTGCGCAATAATGAACAATCATTACCACCCATTCCTGACCCTAAAGGAGATGCATTATTGAAATCTGGTGAATTCGGATATGTTAAGTTATCACAATGAGTCAACTCTATTTAATGTGCTCGAGAATCATATCTATGCTTACTGCAATTGCATATTAACGTATAGATTGAAAAATATGAAGGGTGGGGTTCATTGGGCCAATTGCCATCCTCAAAAAATATCGTACATAAGCTTCAATTCCGCGAAACTTATCCAATCCAAGTTTCGCCAATGTCTGTTGCAAAGGTACATATAATGATTTGGCAGGAATTCTAATGATTTCATTCTTCGATAAGGTATTTCACCTTGTTTGAATTTAAATCCTGAGCTATATTAAAATTTTTCATGACAATACAATAACAGAATTTTTATCCAAACACAAATGGAGATGTCGTGGATTACTTTGCAGCACCAGCTTATTCGGGACAATATTCATTGGATGGCACATTTTTTTATGCTTGTTGTCGAGATTTTTGTGTATATATTTATGACACGACAAATCCCACGAAATTCACACAAACCAAAGTTATCAGAAGCGAAACGGGACGTTGGACCATTACAGATGCCAATCTCAGTGCAAATAATGAGTGGATTGCATATACTAGCATCACGCCCTATGTATACGTTGCAAAGACATCACCCCATGAAGATTTTCAGACAATGCTAAATTTCGCGGATAATAGATCACATGAAGATTTTGGAGTGAGCGTCAAATTATTTTAACAGAGTATTAGATCTTTCTTTCTCTTAATCAATCAATTGTCTAACATCTTCTTTATAGCTGTGGTCTATTCGTTTTTCAAATGATGGCAGAGAATTGGTTGCTGGCAGTAACAACAGAAATATATATGGTAATTATCTACAAATTCGATCTCTGCATTCCATGAATTTTAAGTTATTTATTTATGTGCTTCCGGCGTCTACGATATTTATAGTATATGATATAGTAGAGAAAAAAGTAATCCTTAAGATTAAAGGACATAACGATCATGTCAATGCTGTGTGTTTCGCTGACGAGTCTTCGAATATACTTTATAGTGGTAGCGATGATTCAATGATCAAAGTATGGTTAGTATCATTGTTCATTCGAGCATAATTTTCTTATTTCATTCTTTCACTTATTTTTTCGCTTCTATTGATTAGGGATAGAAGATCAATGCACGGTAAAAAACCAAGTGGTGTGTTAATAGGACATCGAGAGGGGATAACGTATGTTTCATCTAAAGGAGATGGAAGATACTGTCTTTCTAATTCAAAGGATCAGACGATGAAATTATGGGATATAAGGCATGACGATGAATTGATTTTTCCTATTCTATGGATCACTTCATCGATCCTTCTAATTACGCTCTATTCTGTCTTTTTTATGAAATAGAAAAATGATGTCGAGTGATAAATTCGGCGAGTTATCGGAGGATGATAAAGATCTTCGACTTGAATGGGATTATAGGTTTATGGAATACCCTGGTAATAAATACGATACGCATCCTCATGATGTGTCGGTAATGACTTACCGAGGTCACAGAGTGTTAAAAACATTAATACGTTGTTACTTTTCTCCGACGTATAGCACCGGTCAAAGGTATTTGATTTTATTGTATATTTGATATTTCAAAATACAACTCTTAATTAAAATAAAGTTTAATGATTCGCGTTCAAGTTATCTTTACACCGGTTCAGAAGATGGAAACGTTCACGTGAGTGTTTCTTTACAAATTGACCACCAATCCACTTTTTACTTATAACCTCACTCAATAAAATTTCTTTAATAATGACCAACAACAGATTTACAGTCTAGATGGACGCATTATACAAAAACTTGATGTAGACGCCGCTGTTCCACGTAACGCTGAACCTCGGAGACCGCGTCGAACCTCGGGTTATTATGATAGACCAGTAACAAGGGATGTTAGTTGGCATCCGTATTTGCCAATATTAACATCAACAAGTTGGTCAGGAGCAGATCAAAATATGGGTGTAATCATATGTCATTCCTATAATGAACCTGAAGATATTTAGACCAATGTGCATTTTATTGTAATTTCGTGTACCAATACTTTTTGTAACCATCATTCTAGGAGAATTCAAAGAAGTTCTAAATGTACAATAAAAACATAATAATTTAAAACCAGCCGCCTTTATAGCTACACCTTTTGCAAATTCTCTAGTCACATTCCCGTAATGACATGCTAGCGATAAAAAATGAATGCCAATGAAGCAGAGCAAGAAGACACACGAGAAGAACTAGATTTAGTGTCGATTGAAATGCCAAAGGATGCTGTAAAAGTTAACGAGGCATACGAAGAAGTGTTTTTATTGTACACAGAAGGCAAACCGGTGGAATGGAAACATAATCGTGTGGTTGAGCAAAAAAAGGAGTGTGTGAACGTAATGCTTGATGGTAAGAATCAATATTTTTGGTTGCTCGCATACACTAGACTACCAGGTTAAAGATATACTCCATGTTATTAGACGCACATACAGTAACGATATATCAATCACAATCACTTTTGTCACTTCGTGGTAGCACTGGCTCAGTATTATGGGATCCAAGCATTTTACTCTCACGCCTCTTTCTTTCCAAAGACGCGCAATCCTTCTTTAACCTTTCGACAGAGCACACGCATATTTTGGAACTAGGGGCTGGTTGTGGACTTGTCGGTATCACTCTCGCACCCCTAGTAAAATCAATTACACTGACAGATCAACAGATGGTCTTACCGCTGTTATGGAAAAATGTGAAACGAAATCTGGGCGAGGATGTTGCAAATGGAAAGGTAAGTGTAGTAGAATTAGTATGGACGAAAGGGAACAAAGAAGATGGCGGAATCGATCGGGATATAATGCGACAACGATGGGATTATGTGGTGGTGTGTGATTGCGTGTATAATGAATTTATTGTTGATATTTTGGTGGCTACAATTGCGAGATGTTGCCGTGCTGGAAGAGGAAAATATAAATTCGATTATCAGGGAAAAGGTTTAGACCCCGATGAACAGGAAGTGGTGCAAAGTGTGAAAAATACGATTGCGATTATTGCCCTGGAGTTAAGATCGGATACGGTACATTGGTCTTTTCTGGAAGAATTGGTTAAAATGTTTTTTGTTTGGCGATTGCCGGCACGAATGTTGGATCAAGAATTTGAAAAAGGTTATGTAGTTTATTTATGCTGGTTAAAGAAGGAACATGAAGAAGAACAATGAAATTTTGAATATTATTTATTGAAGAATATTTTTGCAGCGAATCAATCTATTAATTACAAGAATCTACCAATTTGAACATTACTATTGAAATTAAATTAATTAAATTATTATATAGAATATATCTTCCAAATGTCCTTTAATATTAAAATTGATTAAAACGAGAATGCTATTGCGCTCACAACAAATGCCAAGACACTACCAACGGCAATTTGATAAATCGACTCGATTTGCCTTGATGGTCCTGCACTGTTAGTAGGTGATGGTGCCGGTGTCAAAACTGGGCCTGAAGGTGTCTCGCGGATCTGAGTAGTGGTAGTTGATTGATCACCGCCGCTGGTTGATGAAGTATTATTAGTGTTGGTTGAATTGCTATTAGATGTGCTGTTTGAGGATTGTGTAGAATTTCCATTTGAAGTTGAATTGCCGCCATTGCTTGAAGTTGAGTTGCCGCTGCTTGTGTTATTATGATTTCCGGAATTTCCACTAGTATTGCTGTTGCCGGTGCTGTTGGAACTGCTGGAATTGCTGCCACTGCTGGAACTGCTGCCACTGCTGCCACTGCTGGTAACGTTGTTATTATTATTATTTCCATTATTGTTGCCATTACCGTTTCCACCAGAACTTCCGATATTGTCAGTAGTATTACTAACGGCGGCTTTAATGGTCGGCGTAAATGACACAAGTACCATTGCGACCAAAAGCACCAAATTCAAAGTGATAAATAGTTTTGAGACGCGCATATTTATGAGTCAGAAATTAATCGAGAGAGGGTTAAGTATAAAAATTAGTGATGATTCCACTGATTCGGGAAGTTATATCAATTGCGCAACCCCAAAACCTCTGTATTTATAAGGATTTTTTGCCAAGAAATGATCCAAATTAAATCATGCACAGGAGAAAAAACGGCGTGTCACGATGTATTACCAATATACTTCTGAATAACCGATTTTCTTATTATTAATTTTGTTTAGTCAAAGCCAACTTTCTTGAACGAGGCTGCAATTATTTTATTCTCAACATATTACGTATTGTTTTCAACAATCTTGAAAGAAGAGACGTGTGGTGCAGCTAAGGCTTTTAATTTATTATCCACATGCTGTCGCAATACACATCGGACGCGAAATACATTAATTGGATTCGGTTGCGATGCACATATTTGAATTTTAACGGTTTCTTATTCGTACCTTGACTTCACATGGTCGCCCGATCGTGTGACTTGAATTTTTATCAACTTAATGTCGCATATCACCAAACAAAAATGGCTTTGTACTAATTAATGTCGATCCATCAACAAACAAAACTTAGCAGTTCATCATTGCCAATTTTAGGGAAACGCTAAAGCAAGGTAGTACTATCGATTTACTAGATATTTATGTTACATTTGATCTTTACTATTGGATTGGTATCACATAACAATACCTTGTTTTAGTAGACCTCCAATTTTAGATGCATGTTGGGTAACGATGTGTTAGAAAATTAATTGGTGAAATAAATTATTAATGTTAACATGCCAAGGATTCGACAATTAAATATTAAAATCGATTTAAAAATGATATACGTTACATTATCGTTATGAAATCATTCTTCTATATTATCGATAGGAAATAACTATAAGGATTGAAATAAATAAAAATCCACAATAATCCAAAGCCAAGCTCAAGCATTCGAATTTTTTTCATAAAAATCGAGCAAGGAAAAATACTTGACTCCTGATTTACTGGTACTTTTTGGTCTGCCCGGACTCTTTTTATGAACGTTTGAGAGTGTTGTTCGCTTTAAAAGTCTTAAAAAATAATTATTTAGAATCATATGCAAAATTAAAAAGATATCTAAAAAAAGAAGCTTCGAGTTTACCTTGAGCTATTGGTTTTATTCCTTTTCATTTTACTATTCCTATTCAAACAAACCTTGGTATGTGTCTCGATACGTAGCTCTGAAGAATTACTGAATTTCTGGTCACAAATAGGACATTCCCAATGGACAATTGCAGAAGCTTCTTTATTTGGAGTTGTGGCAGATAATTGGGGACTTTTGGGTTGTAGAATCTTGTTCGTGGGTTTATGCTCAAACAAGTTATCTTCTTGTGATGTGCTTGCCTTCGTTTTAATATTAGAAGATGCGCATTTTGAAGACTCCGAAGCAGATTGAATATGATTCATATCTGTTAGCTTTTCAAGGTATGTTGGACATTCCGAGTTGTCTGGCGTATCCGTATATGACATATTTTCAGAAGAATCCGATGCTATAGGAGTATTAAATGTTGATTCTTGTAACATGTCATCCTCCGAATCTTGCGTGTCTAGGCGCAATTTTTTTTGGGGATTTTCTTCTTGGTTTTCTTCTTTTACCGGAAAATACTTTGACAAAATTATTTAAAATGACGAAAATATATCATGTAGTAATCAATTAAGCCAACAACCAAATATCATGTGCATTCAAAAAAAAATTACCTTTTTAACACCATATTTCAATTCTTCATTTCTATCTCTCAATGCTGACAAGCGAAGTCCCAATAGTCGCAAAGAAAATGGCATTTCCGCCTTCAAAATCTGAGATAGCATAAAATTAGAATCCTTGAGTAAATTTCATAGATCGCAAATAAAAAATCTACTGACCTGCTCTCCATACTTGTATAAATCATCAGCGTTATGAATATATTTCGGTAGAGTCTTTGCTCTCGTGAACAATTCGAAAGATGTCAATTTAAATTTTAAGGAGATGTTTCTTCCCTATATCAGATTTCAATACATATTAAAAATATAAGCTCAAAGGATTAAAGTCTATTAGTTAATTTTAACAAATGCCTCGAGATTTTCTTTTGCAAGATCATTTTCCAAATGAACCGCTAATTCGCGAAGCTTTTCACGCAAATCTTGGGGTTTCTTTAAAGGTGGAAATGTTCTAATAAGAGAGACTATTAGATTATCTTTCAACAGTTTTATACTCGGCATATTTTAAGAGTTTACCTTTCAACACCAATACTCTTTCGATTCCAGTCCCTACGATTTACTATAAGAATCAACATGAACGACAAAAATCACAACGAAAAAAAAAGAATATTAATTACATTGCTACATCAGTGGAACCAACGCCTAATGCCACCTGAGCAAGAAAATTAAAAGAAGCTGGCTTAAACAGTTTATATACAATCACCAGCTTTTCTAACAAGTCTCCGCATGTGTGGATTTCCAACACGTTCAAGATTCGTTCGGTTACTCTCCCTATTCCTAATTTCAATCTTAGGGATTAACTTAGGATAGATTATACGAACAACCAACTTAGGTAAAAATAAAATACAAAATATAAACCGGATATTTTTCGGATAGATAAATCTTTTATGAAATTCATCAGAACTTGGCGATCATTTTCTAATTGATATTGGCCATTTGGCTTATTTATGTCTGAGCAAATCTAGTTAAGGACAACAAATAAGACATCGATAACTAAGAAAAATCTATCTTGAAATAAATAAAAATACTGACCTTTGCTAGCATCTTGTTTGGGGCTATACCAGCACTCGAGGTCAATTGAGTTGCATGAAATATATCATCACGAATCTGTTGAGTAACTTCAGCAGGTTGCTGCTTGGTTCTGTTTAAATAATCTGTGATGTTAAGGTATGCTTCATCCAAACTCATAGCGGCGAATTGAGGATCGTATTTTGCAAAAACTTTCTGTACTTCTTTTGAAACTTCAGTGTATTTTTCGAAATGACATGGTACCAAGATTAATTGCGGGCATAATCTCTTTGCAATAAATCCTGGCATCGCACTACGAACGCCAAATTTTCTAGCTTCGTAATTCGCCGTTGTCAACATTGACATACTACCAACAGCCATCGGTTTGCCACGAAGTGTCGGATCATCGCGTTCTTCCACGGCAGCAAAAAAGGCGTCCATGTCGATGTGGACGATTGTTTGAGTCATGTCACGTAACTGCTCTAATTCTTTGACTTTAGACTCCACGATAATTGAATCTCTTAGCAAGTCACTTTTCTTTATAGTTTCATATTTTTGAAGCATCTCATTGATCTTTTCGGATGTTGCTTCATCCTTTTTTTTCTCATTCTGAAAAAACGCTGAGCCCTAGTATAAAAACAATTTGGTTATAGTTTAGATTGATAATTCGATCGGTAAATCAAGAAAAAGATTACCTTTGAACTTTCGTAAATTAATCGTTTGACTTTCTCCTTATCAACTCCTTGCATTCCGGCTTTAGTAGCAGCAAGCCCAGAAATTCTATCTCGCAACGACTCATTATCTCTGTTACTTTTTATTTCTTTTTCAATGCTCGATGAAGAATCCAATGAAACAAACACTTCAGAATTTTGCTCTTCGACAAAGCTTTCTTCCAGCGTTGTTATTTCAGACATTTCAGACTCGTGATTCATTTGCTTTGTTACATTTTCCTCTGAATCTCCTGAAAAATCAATTTGACGCTTTGAATTGGTGGAATTGCATAAATCAGCAAAGGCTGAAAGGTCATCTAGAGCTTTTGCCTCTTCTTTATTGTCAAGTAGATCAAGATTATCTGTTTCGTATTTATGTTCCATAATTAGATTTCAAAAAACAATTCAAACAACGCGTCGTTTCGATTAGTGTCCCATTTTTACTGCATTTTCTCCGCAGCAACCGAATAAATGATAATCAAATTTAAAATAATTAAAAAAAATTCGGCAACTTTGAGACGCGATATCTCGACGTCCCGACAGGCCAATTTTAGCAAATATAGAACCATTCGATTTGTCTAGGTTGGGTAAATCGAATGGTCTTATCTTTGTTCAAATTGGACCGCTGAATGTCGAGATATCGCATCCCAAAAGTTGTCGAGTTTTTTGATTCATCTTGAATATTTTCGTATAGAGCATTTTTATAATGTAAATTGTAAAATCACATCATTATGCATTTCACACAAATCTATTGCAAATCCTGCAGATTTTGCAGACTTCATATGGTTTATAATGTGATTTCTGCATTTGCAGTGGACTGGACACTATTCTCGATATACTCATACAACTGTATATAAATTCAATGACCAATAGATTTTTATTTATTATAATGGTTATCCAAATATCAACTGATACAGATGTTAATGTGGGAACCAGGCATCCGAATATTCGTTAGCTGTCGTGTAGACAGAACTGCTAGCACCAGAATAGATTGTGCCGTCAAGAGGTCGCATTCCAAACGTTGAGAAATGTAATTGTGAATGAGTATCTCCCCTATTTTCATTCGATTGTGGGCTGACTTCGGGTGGTCTTTCATTATTAACTATCACGTTCCCTTGCGGCTCGTTGGCCAATCTTTCGGCCTCCTCCTGTCTTACCTTTCGCAATCGAGGAATTTTCAGTAACGTTTGATCTTTTTTCATATGATATGCCACTCTTCGTAAATAATTATAATCATCGGCATCATTAATCTCTAATACCCCATTCTTCATAAAAGGATGTTCTATCGCTTGGTCAGCCGAAAGACGTTGGTCAGGATTGGTTACCAACAGCTTACTGATAAGATCTTTGGCTGTTTGTATTTTGAATTACGAAATAAAATATCCATGGTGAAAGAGGTAATGGAATTCAGAAATATGAAATGAATTATACCATTATCACTGATTGTATCCCACATAGGCGATGGAAATGCATAGTTTCCATTTCTTATCTGTTCGGTTAGACGTGGTGGACTCCTATCATTCGAGAAAGGTGGAAATCCGCATAAACATACGTACAAAATGACGCCTAAACTCCACATATCGACTTTGGAATTGTAACTTCTACTCTCTCTTGAGGTAAGTATTTCCGGGGCAACTATTGAATCAACGTGACATATTAATATTGAAAATTTCAAATAGCTGAACATGACAAATCGGGAAATGTCATTAATACCATAAGTTGGAGTTCCACAAAGAGTTGTCATCACTTCATCTGAGTTGCCGAGAAGTTTAGATAGCCCGAAATCGGAAAGCTTGAGTGTCATTTTTTCTTTGTCGACCATTAATATATTCTCTGGTTTCAGATCCCGGTGAATGATATTACGATCGTGCAAATACTAAAGGAATAGAATATATTAGAAAACCAATAAAAAAAATATTAAAATATCTCTTACCTTAATGGCATTGAAGATTTGATAGAAAGCTTTTCGTGTCTGATTCTCAGTCAGGCACCTCTTCTCATAGATCAGATCGAAGAACTCTTTCTCGGGTACATATTCCATTACAATGTATATGTTCTTTTCTCTATACACTTGATAAACACTGGTGATAGAATCCTTAAAATAA